TTGTAGAGATGAGGTCTCACCAAGTTGCTTAAGCGGGTCTCGAACCCGCGGGCTCAGGCAATCCACTCACCTCAGCCTCCCAAGGCGTGGGATTACAGGCTGAGCCACCAAGCCCGACTGACTGAAATTCTTATGGGGCTCTCGGGGGGATATGAGATAACGCCCGTGGTTCCAGCTTAGCACTGAAGCCACGTAGTGTGGTTCTGAGTAGTGATGGTGAGGACTGGAAGACAGTTCATCCCCAGTTCTGCAGGCTTAAATGCTATTTCCAATAATCAGCACACTTGATCCAAAGTTCATCTCAGGTAAACAGCATAAAAACAAACAACTTGACACCAGAGCCCAAGAAATATCAGTGCATCCACAGAGGTCAGTTTTGTGAATTATGAGACAACAGCAAAAATTACCTCCCAAAAAAGCCCTTCCTACAAAAACGAGACATTTATTTTCACTTCTAGACATTGGTTTATATGGCTTTTAAAAGGCCGACTGCACTCTCAATGTCTCCTCTCTGAAGAGACTTGGTGGAGATGTGGTCAGTCCAAGAAAAGCCCCGTAAGTGAGCGGGTGCTCATGCTTTCAAAGCAAGTGAGCCGGCCGGGCTGGGTAGCTCAACCTGTAATCCCAGCTCTTTGGGAGGCCGAGGTGAGTGGATTGCTGAGCCCATGGGTTTAAGAACAGCCTGGGCAACTTGGCAAGACCTCAACTCTACAATAAATCAAAAAATTAGCCAAGCGTGGTAGTACGTGCCTGTAGTTCCAGCTACTTGGAAGGCTGAGGTGGAAGGATCGCCAGAGCCCAGCAGGTCGATGCTGGGGTCGCCATGAATGTGCCACTGTCCTTCAGCCTGGGCAACAAAGACTCCAATTCAAAAATAAATACATACATACATACATGCATACATAGCAAGTGAGTGAGCCACACCATGAAGGTTAAAGGCAGATAGTCAGTGTATCTACAGTGACTAAGGCACTGCCAGTGTGAGACCTGCGGTGTGAACTGCCCAGGGTCTGGCATTTAGCTGGATGTGGGAGTGTCTTTCAGGAGTCCCAGTTGGGCTCAGTGCTAAGTATTTTAAACACTAAACATAAGACAGAGAGCAGACCTGCACACAAGCCCAGCATGAAGTCAGAGCTGCCCTCCTGGCCTCCATGGAAGCCACAGTAGAAGTCTGAGGAGCCGGTTCCCTGCCCTGTGCTCACTCTGCTCCATAAATAGTTTTCTCCCATCACACTGACAGTCAAGCCCAAATGCTGATTTCCCCTTAAAGCTCCCAGGCATAATAGCCGTATCTCAAAATATCAGTGTGATGTCCTCACTTCTAGAGCCGGAGGGTGGGCTGGCCCGCTCAACCTAGCTGCCATTCCTCCAACCCTAGACGGGAAGGAAAAGATAACCAGGCAGTGGTGCAGTCCAGCTGTCCCACATGTGAGCAGAGTTCCTTTTATTTTGTTTATTTCTTTTTTGAGTCGGAATCTCACTCTGTCGCCCAGGCTGGAGTGCAGTGGCAGGTTCACAGTCACTGTAGCCTCAATCTGCTGGGCTCAGGCAATTCTTGCGCCTTCTCCTTCCAAGTAGTTGGAACTATAGGCATGCGCCAACACACATGGCTAATTTTGTTTAATTTATTGTAGAGACAAGATCTCACCAATATGCCTAGGCTGGTCTCGAACCCCTGAGCTCATGCAGTCCTCTCGTTGCAGCCTCCCAAAGTGCTGGGATTACAGGCTTGAGCCACCATGCCCAGGCTGGAGTTCCTATTAAAGCACAAACGTACTGGAAAAATACAGGTGACTCTTACACCACCTCACCAAGTGCCCTTGTCTCTCTTGGGTTCCCTTCCAGGGCTGCTGCAGGATTATTGGGTCTCACAAGTCCACAACTTCAAGTTAAATGGAAACTATGCAAGTGAGTCAATTAAGTATTTTTATGATTTTTAAAAAAATTTAACATCCCGAAATATTTTGGTTTGAAAAACTGAATTTCATTTATTTTTCCTGCAAAGAATTTCAGAGTGAAATTTTCCTCTACAGTGAATTTACGATGTTTTAAGTAATGGTGTAGGGCTATTCCAGAAGCACTGAAAATATTTTTATTCTATAAACAACTTCAATTTAAAGACAACCAATAAGGGAGACTGGGATTTCCAACAGTCGTTCGAGTTTCATCTGCACATTTCCAGCAGATCCCTGGGATATCATCCCATTCATGAAATAGGATGTATAAATTTTGAGTCTGGTTGAATCTGCTGAATTTCCTATGATGTGGTCTATGGTATTCAGAAAAGTTACGCTGATGTTTTTTCAATGGAAACTTGGGTCATTTTGTTTGGTCACATCCCTCCTGGAGGCTCTCCATTCACTTGGTGGGGATAAAGAAAGGCTAAATTTACTGTGGGGTCTTGGCACTTTCCATCCAAAATATCCTCCTCTGAACTTTCTGGACAAAGCAGGAAACACCTGCATCACAACGTCACTACTGGAACTGCTTATAACCAGAAGAGATAAGTGCCCTTCGACGTACTTGCTATAAACCCAACTCCTTCATGACTCGGAAGCTTAATGACTGCTCTAAAAAATGTGTATGTTAATAACAGGAGGCTTCAACATCATTGTTGGCCTGTTGAATATGACGTGGTTTATGTGAAAGAACGTGAGCTATGTTGTTTTCAGCATTGATCCCTATGGAAGCAAAGAGCCAGCTCCTTAGCTGCAGGTTCATGGACTCTGCAGGGGAAAGCATCTGAGACCTCAGGGAAAGAAGGAAAGCTCATCAAGTTTTGTTAACTTATAAAAAAGGTGAGAGTTATAGTATGATTTTTTAAAAAATTTTGTTTCTTTTGGCTTGGCAAGTCTTCATCTGCAGAAACTACTTGAACTCTATTCCAGCAATAGCACAAAAAGATAATTTTATGTATTATTTACCACACTGTATAAAAAGCAAAACCCCTTGGGCAATGCTATGAACACATGTGAACAGTGAACACAGGGCACGTGTAGGTTCCAGGAAACAAGGGCAATAGGAACAGACGTTTCCAGGAGTATGAACAGCCAGCAACCTCAGACTCAGCACCCTCAAGTACAGAATGAACATACACTAAAATGATTTATACATAAAATGAATTGCAGTAACGCTTATGGCTAAAATACCAGCCAGAAGGTCAGAAGATCAAAGAGATGGAGAGGGTAGGACTGGCCCTCCTTGTTCTGTCGAAATCACAAGAAAACAGAAAACCAGAATTATTTCAGTCGACACCGTTCTGAGGATCTCGTCAGAGGCACGACAAAGTTGAACTCCTAGTGTCCTGGGTTCTGCCATAACTCACCTGCCTTCCTCCTGATTACAGGCCATGGTGGCAATAGACCGTAAGAAGGGAAGGACACAATGTGTGGATAAAGCAGAAACTGTGCCCCAGAACCGGTGAAATTAGGGAAGCTGGAGCTATTTCCAGTGAGACACACAAATGCCAGAGAACATCTGCCAATGAGGTGGGCTCTCCGCTCTGTTCCAAATGCATGTGTTCACCTGCACGTACATCTAAGGGCAGCCTTCCTCACATGGACAGGAATAAAAAAGACCCACGGCTCCAGGGCTCCCGCGCAAGGGCCACCGAACAGGAGTGGTGCATGCGGGAGAGCAGGCTGAGGAGGGTGCTGTTTGCGGACCCAGGGAGACTGAGGGGGTAGGGAGGTCCAGCACTGGGGAAGGTTGATGCCACGGAGACCACCGCATCTGGTGCCATAAAGCCCACCACGTTTCATGGGAGAGCTCAGGACGGATCCCTTGTCAGCCCACTGGAAAGGCACAGAGGCCCCCAAAAAGGAAGCCACCAAGGGGTGAACGCCCAGGGAAAGGAAATGCAGCAACATCTGCCCTGTGGCTCAGGCACCAACAGCTTCAAGGTGGCGAACACTCCGGCATCAAGCACATGTTGGTCTAACCGGGAGTCTGCCCTGTACACTATCCCTGGATGGGTGTGTCAGGTGCTCCTGCTGGGGGGACTCACAGTAATTCCATCCTCCCCTTCCACAGGAAGAAGTCAGAGGTCAGCAGCTAAAATGAAAAAGCAGGAACCCGCCACACAGGCGCGACTTTCTCAAAAGCAGAAGGGGCGGGCAGGGGCGCAGCTGACAACAGGGGGCAGGGAAGCAGCTGGTGATGGGGGGGAGTGACAGGCGGGCACTTGGGGGCCCCTGAGCTCGGCCTTTCCTGTTCAGCTTTGTTTTCACTGCCTGGGGGTGAGGACTGTTTGATTTCATTAGATCATGCACAAGGGTTATTTTGATAAGAAATCAACTCAAAACACCATCTCTCCTCACACTGGCTGCCCGCCCTCCATGACGTGTTTCCTTCTGACCCCACCTGGAGAGGGACAAGTGCTGGCCCTAGGAAGCTGGTTCGGGGCACTGCAGGTGCCTGTCATGGGGGTGCTGGAGGCAGGACCTGGAGCTGGGTTGCTTTTCCACCACCTCCCCACCTGCCCCTCGACAGAACTTGGGACACATGGGCACTCACGGTCACACACGTGTGTGTTTTGGCAGTGGAAGAATGTGCCTTGGCCTCATCCCAACAACCACCACAATTCCCACAGCAAACATCTGTCCCCGCAGCGTGTGCTCAGAGCAAACATCTCACACTCCACAGTCAAGCCTCCTGACACCTTCCAAGCCAGAGGGGCAAACCATTCTGGTTTTCTAAATATACACTTGCAGATCATGTAAATCTCCCTTCTACTCACTAAATAAAAGTCTCCCACAATAGTTTAACAATGACTTGTGCGGAGTTAGCCCCATAGAAAGAACAGTGGCCACGGACCAACCGTGCCCCAAACACACTCACCCTCAGCCTCCAGGGCAAAGGCCCCCTTGAGTCCTCCAACGCTTCCTCTGCCTTCTCCTCCACCCCTCATACCCATCCTCATATACTTTCTTGAACTTGAGCCCTACACCACTGGATCCTCTTTGATGCACCACCAATGGAACCTGTCAGGGATGCAGTGATGGTGTCCCCTCCAGATTCCCATGTTGAAGCCCTGGGCCCCAGGGGAATGGTGTTAGCAGGCAGAGCCTTGGGAGGTGATGAGAATGAGATGGGGTCATGAGGAAGTCCCCACAATGGGATCAGTGGCCCCAGAAGAGGAAGAGACAGAACTCTCTCCACCAGGTGAGGGCACTGTGAAAAGCGACATCTGCAACCCAGGAAGCAGGTCCTCACCAGACATCCAACCTGCAGAACAGGACCTTGGATGTGCAGCCCCCAGAGCTCAGAGAAATACATTTTTTCTGTTGTTTATAAGCCACCCAGCCTATGGTCTTTGCTATGGCAGCCTAAAGGGAACAGAGGGCTGCCGCCTCCCTCCGGCACCTTCCCTTTAAACTGCAAACTCCTTCCAACATCATCTCCCAACCAGCAATGAGCAAGCTACAACAAAACCTTCTAGTAACCCATGACGGTCCCAAGCTACCTCTGAAGGAGCAAAAAACAACAAACAAAAGTCCCGGCACCTGGTACCTCGTATATGCCATCTACATGCTGTACACACTGGCTACACATATTCATCCACACTAGGTACATGTATATGTATGCTAGCTACATGCTTACACAGATCAGCCACATACCTACATACTAGCTACGTGCATGTATGTATTTCGACATGTTTGTACATGCTGGCTTCATGCCTACAGACAGGTGCTAATTGTGTACACAGGGTAGTTCCTACTGCCATGTCCCACCCTTCTGTGTCCTCCAATCTGTAGTATTCCTGTCCTGTGCTCAGCCCCCTTGTCTCCAGGCCCTGCCCATCCGGCTCATTACCTGGCAGCATGTGGTGGACAGGCGTGGCGATGTTGATATCCTGCAGGTGCTTGAGGGTTTCTGTGTGGAAAAGGCGGAGTGTGGACCCTGAGGTGAACGCGATCCAGATGCCCACGCCGGCAGCTGCCATGTGGGCGATCACCATGCCTTCCTCCTGGTGCGCCTCCAGCTGGTTCTGAGAAACCAAGAGAAGATCATGGACAAATGTTAGGAGGCACCTGGCATGGACCCCTGGGAGAATCTGCAAGGCGTAGCCCATCCTGCCCACGTGCGTCCGGTGGGAGTTATCCCATTCAAAAGCCTCAGCCCCTCCTGGAAGGGATGACACCAGTACTGAACTGCTCTCCCAAGCAGACCAGTGCTCTACAGAACGGGACGTGCCGTGACTCCCCATTACTGACACCACTGGGAGCTGAGAACACAGTAACCTCAAACACAGCCGAAGGGCACTCATGGTACCCAGGCTGCCAAGCTTGTGTCCAAAGGAGACACGGGCCACAGGCAAGACGACAAGGAGAGTGAAATATGTGTGGGAACAGGCTAAAGGGGCCAATCTACCCTGCCTCGGCTCCAAGCCATGGGCAAGCCCCTCAGGCCAGCCCAACTCTACGGCCCGGGCAGTGTCAGGCCCCCAGTACTCTGTGCCTCCTCTACCTTCTCCCTTTCTGGGTAACCAGGCCCCTCCTGAGCTCCCAGGCTTAGCTGCAGCCCGCCTCTGAGAACTCCGTCCTAAAGCCTGCTCCACAGGTCCCACGAGCACTTGTACCCTTGCACCCAGCACAAGCTGCTTATGCCACTGATGCCCCTTGTCCTCAGGTGCTGCCTGACGCCTGTGCTCTCTGGGAGCTATTGCCTGGACCACCCACTGGCCCATGCAGAGAACAGCACAGCTGCCATTCCTGTCCATGGGGACTGAAGGGGTGAGGATGGCACCTGGAGACACCATGCCCTGAAGCAGCATCCTCATGTTTGTGAAATCACACAATCCTGCACAATTGCCTAATTTAAATGATGACACTTACAGAAATTCACAGAAAATACCAGACTTACATCTCTGTCCTAAGGGTTGGCCCTAACATTTGAGAACATGGGAAAAGACGGTTTATGGCCCACTCTACCACGGAGGGACCCTGTTTGCTCAACGTGGTCACCCACCCCAGGCACAGTCAGGTTTACCCTACAGCTACAGTCCTACACACTCAATGCGCTAGTTGGAGGAATACAGATTTCATCTTGAGCTGGATGGGAGATGCCATCTCCAGTGGGATCATGCCTTATTTCAGTTGGGATTTCCCTGGGGGTGGCTGGGCCTATATACAGGGGCTACAGGGCCTGAGGGGAAAGGCAGCTGATGAGGGGCAGTATCCTGAGGGTGGGTTTGGGAACCGGGATGCGACAGAGTCTGTATGGTCCAGCCAGCTGGCCCCGATATTGAGTGCATCTCCAAGGTTTCAAGCAGGCTCCACCTCTGTGTATAGGCCCCTGAGCAAACTGCTCCCTCCTGGGGTCTCCCAGGGCCTTGATGTGAGGGAATAGGGCTCTTGGGCAGAGTGGGAGGACCTGCTTTCCAGCTCTGGTCCTGCAGGGTAACATGTCACCTCAGCCCTTTGATTTCTCCAAGGGACATCCTGTTTCTAAGATGTGCTATAGTCAACTCTGTAAATACTCTCATCATGGGCACATCATTTCCTCATATGAAGTTACTGAATCAAAGTCCCTATCAATGGAAAGAACACACATTCACAGCGGTGGTGGTGGTGCCCCTGAGTCTCCAACCCAGCTCTCATACTTGGAATCCAGCTCCATGACCCTGTGGAATGTGAGTCATCACGCAAGAAGATCTAAAGTGTCTTTAGGAGCTGCCGTTTCCCAGTCTCCACACTCCAGAGATTCTGGGCAGTACAGTGTAGAAGCCAGGGTGCTGCCTGGGGACTCTAACTCGGCTCTATTTCTGACCCCTCCCTCTCCTCTGCAGTCCACAGCCCACGCAGTCCACCTCCGCCTGCCAACATGTCCTGTCCACACAGCGCCCCCCCGCCTTCTCTGGTAAACCCTTCTCCTGGTACTAGGTCCTTCCTGCCCTGTGGTCTGTCTCCTTTGGCCTGGGGCCCTTTCTCTCCTGACTTCTTTCATCTAGCCCCAAACAAGTACATGTCTCACTCACCTTATATTAAAAAGAAAGGAAAAGAACCTTACATTAAAAAGAAAGGGAAAGAAAAGCCTTTGTGACCCTCTGGCTGTGGCCCTCACTCTCTCTGGCCAGTCCTGGCAGGTGCAAGACGTCCCGCCTCCCCCTCCCAGTTATCTCAGCTTACTCGGGCTGACACCGGATAAGCTTCCCCATCATCACCAAGCCGCCAAATCCAGAAGAGAGTTCCTTTTTAAAAAACCAAGATAAAATTCTCATGCCATAAAAATCACCATTTAAAAGTACGTAATTCAGTGGTTTTTTAAGTATGTTCAAAAAGTCGCCAAGCATCACCACTCTCTAGACTCCAGAACATTCCACCCCGCTCACTGCTCCTCCTCAACCCTCTATGAATTTGCTTGTTCCGGACATTTCATGTGATTGGAATCTTACAGTGTGTGTGGCCTTTGGCGTCTGACTTCTTTCACTGAACATAATATGTCCAAGGCTCATCCGGGTGGTTGTGTGTGTCAGTGCTTCGTTACTTTCACGGCTGAATGACATCCCATGTGTGGATGAACCACATTATGTCTGCCCATTCATCAGTTAATGGACATTTGAGTTGTATCCACTTTTTAGCTACTATAAATAATGCTGCTATGATCATTCATATACAAGTTTTCATACACATGAATATTAAGTTCACCAGCCTAGGCAATGTAGTGAGACCTTGCCTCTATAAAAAAATAAAATAATCTAGGCATGGTGGCACACACCTATAATCTCAGCATTTTGAGAGGCCAAGGTGGGAAGATTGCCTGAGCCCAAGATTTTGAGACCAGCCTAGGCAACACAGCAAGACCTCATCTCTACAAGCAACAACAACAAAATCAAAAAATTAGCCAGGCATGGTGACACATGCCTGTAGTCCCAGCTACCCAGGAGGCTGAGGCTGAAACATCGCCTGAGCCCAGGAGGTTGAGGGTACAGTAAGCAGTGATCATGCCACTGTACTCCAGTATGAGTAATAGAGTGAGTCCTTGACAAGAAAGAAAGAAAAGAAGAAAAGGAAGGGAGGGAGAGAGGGAGGGAGGGAGGGGGGAGGGGAAGAAGAAAGAGAGAAAGAAAGAGAGAAAGAGAGAGAGAGAATATTAGGCTCTTCTGGATATACATGTGTGATTGGAAATGCTGGGTCATATGGTAATTCCATGAGTTACTTCTTAAGGAACTGAAAAACGTTTCCAGAGATTTGCCCCATTCTACATTCCCATCAGCAATCTGCAAGTCTTTTTCTCATGCCCTCCAGTGCTTGTGAATGCCCATTTTGATAATTTTTTTTTTTTTTTTTTGAGTTGGAGTCTCACTCCATCACCCAGACTGGAGTTCAGTGGCCGCTCCTGGCCACCGCAGCCTCAACCTGCTGGGCTCCGGCGATCCTTCCGTCTCAGCCTTCCAAGTAGCCAGAATTACAGGCATGCACTACCACGCCCGGCTGATTTTTTGATTTATTGTAGAGATGAGGTCTCACCTGCCCAGGCGGGTCTCAAACCCGCGGGCTCAGGCAATCCACTCACCTCAGCCTCCCAAAGGCGCGGGATTACAGGCTGAGCCACCGAGCCCAGTTCCCATTTTGATAATTTAAAAAATTACTCTTACCATCCTAGCATATGTGCAGTAGTGTCTCACTACAGTTTTGAACTTCATTTCCCTAACGAGTAATAATGTTGAGCATCTCTTCATGTGTACATTGGTCAACTGTACAACTTTTCTGGAGTAATGTCTCTTCAGTTCCTTTGCCTTAAATTGGGCTTTTTCTTTGTATTGAGTTGTAAGAGTTTGTTACATATTCTGGATGCAAGAGCCCTACTGCAGGTTGTAAATATTTCCCCCCATTCTGTTGGTTGTCTTTTTACCTTCTTGATAGTATTCTTTGAAGCACAAAGATTTTAAATTTAATGAAGTCCAATTTACCTTACTTATTCCCATGGGTTTTTTGTACTTCAGGCATCATGTCTAAAAACCATGGCCCAGTCCAAAGTATGAAGATTTTTAAGATGCTTATAGGTGCAGTTCTTCCATTTAGGTTTAATCCACTTGAGCTAATTTTGTGTGTGGTGTGAAGCAGGGGTCTGCCTTCATTCCTTTGCAGGTAGATATCAAGTTGCACCAGAACCATCTATTGAGAGACTATTCTTTCTCCATTGAATAGTTTTGGTACCTTGTTGAAAATTATTGGCCCCCAGACGATCTTTTTCTGGGTCTTCTATTCTAACCCGTTGATCTATATGCCTGTCTTCTACAGTACCACATTGTCTGGATCACTGTACCTGTACAGCAAAACTTGAAATTGTGCGAGTCCTCCAGCTTTGTTATTTTCCAAGACTGCTTTGCTATGTGGGGCCTTTGCATTTCTAGATGAGTTTTAGAATTTGTCAGGTTTTGTTTAAAAAGGAGGCAGTTGAAATTTTGATAGGGATTATATTGAATTTATTGATCAACTGTAGGACTATTTCCTTCTTAACAATATTAAGCCTTCTAATCTATGAATATGAATGTTTTTCCATTTATTTAGGTATTCTTTAATTTCTGTCAATAATGTCTTACAGTTTTCACTGTACAAATTTGCATTTTTGGTTAAATCTATTTCTAAGTATTTTTTTTTTCTTGACAGCATATATGGAGTTGTTTTCTTCACTTTTTGAGTTGGAGTCTCACTCTGTCACCCAGACTGGAGTGCAGTGGCCGCTCCCGGCCACCGCAGCCTCGACCTGCTGGGCTCTGGCGATCCTTCCGCCTCAGCCTTCCAAGTAGCCGGAATTACAGGTTGTTTGTAACTACTGTATAAAGATTAAGTTGATTCTTTTATACCACCTTTGTACTTGGCGGCCTTGCTAAATTAGTTCCAACAGTTTTCTTGTAGATTCCTTAGAATTTTCTACATGCAAGACTACATAATATGCAAACAGAATTTTGCTTCTTCCTTTCAATCTGGATGCTCCCCTATTTTTTCCTTGCACAATTGCTCTAGCTAGAACCTCCAGTACCAC